GTGAGAGAGCCTGTATGTGTACAGGGTGGGTGGTAATACAGAGCGTTCCAGTCACATAGATGTGACAGTAATATATTGAGGTCACGAGGAAGCGTGTATACGAAATTGCTTTTATGTGGGAGACCATTGCACGTGTGGTCTTAGCCTTCAGTGTGTGTACCTGTGGAGTTGTGGGTGGGGCAAGCTACACGGTGTGACCTGAAGAACGCTACACTCAGTAGCGCTCAAGGGAAAGAGCGCTGTGATATGCGAGGTGAAAAACGCTGTGAAATGCGAGGTGAAAAACGCTGTGATCTGTGACGGTGAAGAACGCTACACTGTGTTTGGCATAACGCAAAGTTCACTGCCACATAATGCGTTCTAAATTGCACTAAATCTTCACAGGTGTTATTCAATTCACACTTGCAGAGAGAAAAAAGCATTCCCGCCAAATATGACACAAAATCCGTATTCAGTCGCAAACGTCAACATTACTCTCCATATCCCTTAATTTGTACAGTTTGTAAATCTCCACTTCTTCGGTTCCTCTTCTATTTACTTTTTAGCCTCCCACAATTTCGCCTCAATTGCTGGGAAGAGTCGGGAGATTTAAAATAAAATAACCTGCAATATAAATTCACTTAAAAGGTGAGAAGCTTCATATAAAAACGAGACGAGAATTTCCATCCATCCGGTGGCGTTCACTGGCTCCGGGCTCCCATGCTCTCTGCTCTAATTTGTCGCAAATGTTTTAGATATACAAGAACTGCTAGCTGCAACTATGAGATTACTGCCGTTCCTCAGTATTACTGCCGTTCCTTGGTATTACTGCCGTTCCTTGGTATTACTGCCGTTCCTCAGTATTACTGCCGTTCCTCGGTATTACTGCCGTTCCTCAGTATTACTGCCGTTCCTCAGTATTACTGCCGTTCCTCAGTATTACTGCCGTTCCTCAGTATTACTGCCGTTCCTTGGTATTACTGCCGTTCCTTGGTAATATTGCCGTTCCTCAGTATAACTGCCGTTCATTGGTATTACTGCCGTTCCTCAGTATTAC